GGTCTGGGCTGGAAGGAGGGTTCGTTTGGCACTGTGTGAGCGAAGGGTGAGTTTTTGATGTAGGGTGTTGTTGGTAAAACTTTTGTGTGGGCTCCAGAGGTGTTTAATTGGCTAGCTTGCTTTCCTTGCGTGGGGTCGGCAGCTCCTGAGGAGCTCCTGGCTCTTGGAGCCCTGAAGGAGCCCGGGTTGCTGCTGTGGCTGGGCACCACGCCGCGCTTGGAGGATTTGCTGCCTTTGCCGGGTGGTTTGGAGGAAACCACATCCACGGCCGTGTCTGCAGCACGGAAACCTTCGAGGAGGGCATCGTCCCCATCGCTCTGTGCGTGCTCAGCTACACAAGCGGGCTTGGAGCTGGGTTTTTCAGGACACCCCAAATGAAGGGCAAACCCAAGCAAGAGCACTAGGCAGGGAGCACCTTCGTCGGGGGCTGGAGGGGGCTGAGCCACAGTGCAGCCCCACAGCCACTGTGAAGGGCTCTGCCATCAAGTGGGTACCATGATGAGCCTCGCAGAGGAGCCAGGGGGGTGGCAGGGGGTGCGGGCACAGAGCTGGAGCGGCACTGCCATGCTGGGGCACGTGTTTGGTTTCGGTTGTGGTCCAATGAAATTGCGGCCAGAACCCTGGAGCTGCTCCAGGCTGGGATAAGCAGGACCAGGGTCCTGGCATAGCTTCAGTCCTCTCTTAAATTTGGTGTCTGTGTTCGTTGCTGGTGATGGGAGGGTGACAGATGCAACAGAACGGGAGTGCTCTGGGTGTCCTGGTGTGGATGGCTGGGCTGGGACGCTCTCGGGGCAGGATGGTGCAGAGGACACCCATCTGCGCTGTGCGACAGTGCCTCCTACGTCTGCCACTGCCACCTCTGTGCCCTGGAGCCTCCCCGTCCCTGGTGCCTCTCTCATGCGGTGCTGCCCACATTCCCCAAAATTGCAGGTTGTGCAGCTTTCCTTAATTGCCGTGGGGTGGTAGAGCTGTTGTGGGAAGGGTTGAGCTGAGTTCCCCTCAGTTCAGACTTTCTGCTCGTTAAAAACTTCCTGGTTTTAATTAAAAAAAAAAAAAAGAGAACCTGGAGCCAAGCACAGGGTGTAAAACCTCCCTCGAGGTCTGTCCCAAAGGGTCGCAGCTTCTCCATCTCCGCAGTGTTCAGCTGCCAGTGCCAAGGCTGATGTCTCCCACTGTACCAGAGTGCGAGCATCCCAGTATTTCCCATGTGGGAGAGGAGGACATTTCCTTGGGCAGAGCCAGTGTCTCACTCCCAGCCCCAGCTCCCCACCATCACGCTGCCTCGTAGCACCAGCTGATTTCCATGCTCATGCCGGTAAGCCAGCAGCAGCACCCAGGTGTCTGCATGACCGGGACAAGGCAGCATCCTTGCTGAAAGCGTGGGGTTTCGCTTGGCTTTCACGGTTCCTCCGCAGGGGAGGAGCAGGACATGGTGGAGCAGAGCTGCTCTGAGCTGGCCCAGCTCGAAAGATGAGGGATGCAAGAGGGAGAGCATGGGGTGTGCAGGCAGCTCCTTTTCGGGGCGGGGAGGAGGATCTTCACACAGAGGGTGGGGAGGCACTGGGACAGGTTGCCCAGAGAAGCTGTGGATGCCCCATCCCTGGATGTCTTCAAGGCCAGGCTGGATGAGGCTTGGAGCAACCTGGTCTAGTGGAAGGTGTCCCTGCCCATGGCAGGGGGGGGGAACTAGATGATCTTTTAAGGTCCCTTCCAACCCAAACCATTCTGTGATTCTGTGATTCTATGATTCTATCTGCCAGTGTTTGCCATGGTTGGGTTTCCATAGCCAGAAGTTGGTTGGGAAGCTGTGCCATGGGGTTTTGATTGTGCAAGTGAGTGCAAAAACCCAGTAGCATCTCTGAAAGGAGTCATCTGTAGCTGTGCCATGGCTATGGAGGGCAGTGCAGAAGAGGGGGCCCTGGGAGGGATGGGGACGTGCCCAGTCCTACTCGGATGCTCCTCTGGAGCTGATTCCTGCAAGGGTTGGGTTTGCTCTGCAGGATACCAGGTTGGGAGAAAGGAATTCATTGATACAAACTGTCCCCATCCTGCCCAACTCCACATCCATCCCATCGGCAGCCGGGTGGGAGCAGGGCGAGTTCACTTGGGTGCTTGGTTTCGGTGCTGGGCATTGCTGGTGGAGCCGGAGCCGGGCGCAGCCATGCTGGTGCTCAGCCTGCACCGCCTTTCCGAGGCTTCTCCGCAGGCGTCGGCTGGGAGGTGGTCAGGAAGAGCCTGGATCAGCAGAAGCAAGGGGTGCTATGCAGAAAGAGACTGGCAGTGCCCTGGGGGGCTGTAGGTGCCGAAGCCCAACAGGCTCAGCCGTGCTGGGGGGCTGGGGTTGGGGAGGCTGAAAGCTCCTGTCAGTGGATCAGGGGCTGGACCAAGCGCTGTTGCCAATGTCATGGACATCGATGGGGTCAAGTCAGCCCTGAATTCCCTGTAAATAAGTGAAAGAAGCATATTTTGGATGAAACACAGCACATGCCTTTGCTGACATGTGTTGAGCTCGTGTTGGTTGTCCCCCCCAGCTCCAACCTCGCCGGGAGCAGCTCCTCACTGCCACTGCACAGTGGGTTTTGCAGGGGAAGAAGGTGGAGATGCTGGGGAGGTGCGAGGGCTGAGCCGGTGCCAAGGCTTTCCTGTTTCTCCAGCACTCTGCAGGGACCGGGGGTGGCACATTTGGTGCCCTATTCTGTCTGCTTTGGGCACAGGAGCTGTGGGCTGAGCTGCCTGTGGGATACGGGGGCAGCCCAAACCCCTTAGCCTATAATTTCCTACCTCCAGCTCTTCTCTTTTTAGAGTAAAATGATATTTTGTGCTTTTCTGGCCCCGGGGCTGCCCCCTCCAGTCTGGACAGCTTCCTCTGAGTACTGCATTGCGCTTGCACGGTGCTGCTCAGCCCGTGTGGCAATGAGCACCCCAACACCAACTCCTGGGGCTGGATCCAGGGCTTTTCCAGCGTCCTGTTAATTTTTTCGTGCAAAGTCGGGTTAGCAGGTGAGTGGAGAAGGGTGTCCCGTTGCTGACCTGCTGCTAACGACCACGGTGGTGGTCGTGGTAGAGCAGCTTTTTCTGTTCCTAGTACTGGTGTTTGGCTCCTTGCAAAGCTCTGTAGCATCAGCCTGGGACACAGAGAGGCCTCATCCTGCCCAGGTGCTGATCCTTGGGTCCAGCAGGTCTGTGTGGGAAGGGGAGAGTGATGGGCTGGGTGATGCCATGGATGATGCTGGTGTGGTGAGACGGGTGTTCGGTGTAGGGATGAGCTGGTCTCCTCATGTCCGGGTGATGATCAAGCCAACTCCGGTTGGGGAAACACCAGCACCGGTGAGCTTCAGCCAACCAAAATTGTCCCCATCTGATAATTTCTGCTTGTTTTCTCCCTTGCCATGATTTGAAAAATATTTTTTGAGAAATTAACCTTCTTTTCTTCCAGTCGTTGCCTTTTTCTGTTGCACGTGCACAGGGTCGGCTCCCTGGACACCGCTGTGCGAACGGGCTCCGCTTTTGTCTATTTGAGGTCATCACTGACATCATCTCGGCTGGGGAATGGGCCTTTAACATCATTTATTTTCTGGAGCCGGGTCGATGCTGAAGCTCTGAAGTGAAATGGGGGTGTTTTTCTTCCTCCATTTCTTTTTTCCTGTCAGAGACAAGTCAGGAAAGTTCACTGAGCCGAGATGTTTGTTGCTTGAATGTGCCAGAGCTGCCTGTAACAACAGAGCTGGGGCAGGGTGAAGTTGTGGGGGAATAGGAAATGAAAACCTTTTCAGCCCAAAAAATTCTTACCATGGCAAAAAACCAAAGCAAACCAAAGCTAAATATAGCCGGGCCCGTGAATTTGCTCTGACTTCTGGCGAATGCTTGTGGTGGAAAAAAAATGGGTCATTTTAAAACAAAATAAACCCCACAAAAGTCGTTTTGTTGATGTGCTGCTTTAGGCAGCTTTTTGATGGGGCGCTGGGGCAAGAAGCGGCTGCGTGGAGCCCTGGGGGCAGCTTTTTAGCTCAGAAACATGCGTTTGAAGAAATACTCTATCTTCTAAAAACGACACGTCAGCTGGAGCAACGTGTCCCAGGGTAATGTCCTGGGTTTACTGGTTTATACAGGTTTTGAGATGGATTCACGTGCCGGCCTGGCCCTTCGTGGTGCTGGGGGTTGGGGAATTGCCACGAGGATGCAGGGTTGGACCGTCACAGTGGGCAAGGACTGTGGGACGTGCGTCGAGCTGGGGTTGAGATCAGCCTTTCTCCCCTCTGCAGCTGCACTAGTGCTTTTATCTGCTGGCAGCGATCCCCCTCGCTCTGCTCCTGCCTCCCAGCGCCTGGGCTGGGATTTCGGAGCGTCCCGACGCGATGTTTCGTATTTGCTGGGGCCGGGGCCGTGCCCACGGGAACCATGGGTGCGTGCAGGCGTTTTCCATCACGCCCTCTTCACGCGCTGGGAGAACTTCCCCTGAAGTTCTTGTTTGCTCCGCAGGTTTTTTAGCAGGTCCCCAAATACACATAAAAATGATGGATGCGTGCTGTTTCCCCGCTCTGTTTTTCTCCACCCGGAGCAGATGGCCAGTGCTGAAGCCGCTGGTGTGGGCTCCTCCGGCGCGGGGCTCGTTGCGACGTCTCGGGATGCTGTGAGCAGGTGCTGCTGATGGGAACTCTGTTCTGAACGGCTCTGATGATGCTGTTAGGGCTCTTTGCACCGGCCCTGGTACCCAAAAGCCGCTGGCTGGTGCTTCGCAGGGATGCCACACTTGGTGCAAACACCCTTGTCCCCCTGCCTGGGGCCCATCACCCCGAGGACGGGCACTGGGGCAAACCCTGGGGTTATTTCTGCAGGAAGCAGTGATCCCCGGCGTGCTGGGTGCTGTGTGCAGGGATGCACCCCAGAACTTGCTGCGCGTGGCGAGGGAGCCAGGACGCTCTGGCGGGGCTGGGTGCGACACACGGAACAATGCTGAATCCCCAGCGATGCTTTAACCCTTTCCCCCTGTTTTTTCCCAGACTCCAGAATCTTCCTCGTCTACAACACGGGCGCGCAGGGCTGCCTGGAGACGAAGGACTCGCTGGTGAGACTCGCCAAGGGCTGCAACGCCAGCGCCCCCGCCCAGCAGTGGAAATGGGTCTCACGGAACCGCCTCTTCAACGTGGGGGCCATGCAGTGCCTGGGGGTGTCGTGGCATGGGGCCAACGCCACGGCGGGGCTGCACCCCTTGGCCACCTACGAGTGCGACCGTGAGTCTGTCAACATTCGCTGGAGCTGCCGTGGCCTCGGGGAGCAGCTCTCCCAGCATCTTGGTGCCCGCCCGGGCAATTCCTCCCTGGACAGGGGGGACCAGGCACGTGGCTCGCAGTGGAGGACGTATGGTACCGAGGACGATCTCTGCTCCGTGCCCTACTCTGGTAATGCCTCCGTGGTCATCATTATTATCCTGTAACTCAAACCAACCCCGAGCTGAGGCTGCGGTGCTGCAGCAATCGCATCCTGCCTGGGGAGCTTGGTCCCAGCATTCTGGGGCTGCAAAACCAGGCAGGATTGGGGTGATGGGGAGTGGGCAGCCTCCAGACACCCCACCAGCCCCCACACCAAGCCAACCCTCATCCCTCACCTCCGTCCAGCCCCCCGTACACACAGCCTCAAGCAAGGACTCTTCTTTCCCCCAGAGATTTACACCATCCAGGGCAACTCGCACGGGAAGCCGTGCACCATCCCCTTCAAGTATGACAACCAGTGGTTCCACGAGTGCACCAGCACGGGGCGGGAGGACGGCCATCTCTGGTGTGCCACCACCCAGGATTATGGCAAGGACGAGCAGTGGGGCTTCTGCCCCATAAAGAGTAAGTGAGGGGAAAAGCAGAAACTCCCTGTTCATCCCTCCCCGGCGCTTTCCTGCCTCTCCCCTTCCCTCCTAGCTCATCCCTACTTCCACAAGCCAAGGCAGCCCCACTGCCTTCTCGTTGTCTGGATTTTTGGGGTTATTGGGGGTTTTTGGAGCTGCAGATGGGGCTGCAATGGGTGCTCATACCTGCAGGCAATGACTGTGAGACCTTCTGGGACAAGGACCACCTCACCAACAGCTGCTACCAGTTCAACTTCCAGTCGACGCTGTCATGGCGGGAGGCCTGGAATAGCTGTGAGCAGCAAGGGGCCAACCTGCTGAGCATCACCGAGATCCACGAGCAGACCTACATCAACGGTGAGACGATGGCAGCCTGGCTCTGTGCCCATCCCCCTCACCCAGGGCGGAACTGGTGGCACCGTGGCCATCCCTGGTTGCTCTGCCTGTCCCGGGGGGTTGGTTTGGGGATGGTGACAGGCTGGGGGTTGAGCTGGCGCTGGGGGAACTGATCCTGCCCCTCTGGCTGTGTCGGTCCCAGGGCTGCTGACGGGATACAGCTCCACGCTCTGGATTGGGCTCAACGACCTGGACATCAACGGAGGCTGGCAGTGGTCAGACAACTCGCCCCTCAAGTACCTCAACTGGGAGAGCGGTGAGACGTTGATGATGGCAGGCTGGGGAGCAGCCTGTGACCGTTGGAGATGGCCCCATGGCAGGGGAGGTGGCACAGGCTGCTGCAGGGTGTCCCCTCGCGGCCGGCCTAGGGACAGAGAACCCCATGGGGCTGTGGAGCAGACTGGGACATCTGCGGAGCTGGAAGGGGGATGTAGGATGCTGGAGGGGGAATTGTCCCTCTGCAAACCCTCGGCAGCCCTACAGATAACCTGGGTTGAGCACCCTTGGATGTTGCATCCCACCGTGGTGCTGGAGTGCGGCTGAGGAGTCCCCAACCGCAGACACCCGTCTCTAACCCTGGGGTGCTCAGGTAGCAGAGTGACCCATGGTGAGGGCTGCTGTGATCGAGCTGGTGCTGTCACCCAGGATGCTGGTGGGGACAGTGAGATACCCCAGGAGCAAATCTGGGGACAGGCAGGGACAGTTCAGGTCTGGGGCTGTGTTCCCCCATCTGCCATCCAGTGTTGGTAGGTAAGAGAGTGATGCTCCAGGTCCTTGTGCAGCGAGGCACAATAAATGATCCTGGGCACGTGGGGTCACGTCTTTGTCGTGCAAAATAACAAAATAAATAGGTCTTTACTGGTGGTGGAGCAGGGAGAGCTGCACCCTGCCAGTGCCAGCCCTTGTGCGGGGCTCTGCCTGTGCGGGCAGTGTTGGTGGCTCTGCCCCCTGCCAGCTCCTCAGCAGTGTGTCCCCCCTCGACCCCGCTTTCCAGACCAGCCAGACAACCCCAGCGAGGAGAACTGCGGGGTGATCCGCACCGAGTCATCTGGGAGGTGGCAGAACCGCGACTGCGGCATCGCCCTCCCCTACGTCTGCAAGAAGAAGCCCAACGCCACTGCCGACCCCTTCCTGACGGGTGAGTAGGGGGACTAGCCGCACTGGGAATGGGCAGCCCCATTTCCCAAACGGTGTGTTCCCGTCCCGGTCAGGGGATGCTGTCCGAGTGCCGGAGCAGCCTGTGAAGATGCTCACCCAGCTTGTTGGTGTGCTGGGTGTGCGGAGCTCTCAGGGGTGCCCAGATTGGGAAATTCCTCCCGAAGGAGTATCCCCTGAGGAGTGCTCGGTGCAATTACAGGTTGGGTGGTAGGGGGGAACAGAGAGGAGCAGGAGGTCCCCATAGTCCCAGGGGACAGGGTGCTCTGTGCTCTGCTCTGCCATCCCTCTTCTGCAAACAAAAGGATGTTTTGTTCCTGGAGCGCTAAAGCCACCGCTGCCTGCACCTTGCCATGGCCTGTTACAGGTTGGCTGTAGCTTTCCCACCGGTGCTTTGGCTGGGTCTCCTGAGCAACCCGTGGGACTGTGGTCCCAGCCTGTGGTCCTCTCCCTGCCAAGAAGAGGGTTGGAGAGTGGGACAGGAGCCCTGAGGCTGCCTTGTGTCCTGCCAGACTCGTGGTCGGAGGTGAAGGTGGACTGTGAGCCCAGCTGGCAGCCCTTCCAGTCCAACTGCTACCGGCTGGTGGGAGAGAAGAAGAGCTGGCAGGAGGCGAAGAAGACCTGCCTGCGGAGCGGGGGGGACCTGGTCAGCATCCACACCCTCTCCGAGCTGGAGTTCGTCACCAAGCAGATCAAGCAAGGTGAGGGGGAGCTTGCTGTGCCTGCAGCACCCTTCCCGTCCGATTCTGTGGTCTGTGGAAAGGGCACTTCTGTGTGATGGAGGCTGCGAAGATTAATGGATTCGTGGCTGAGGAAGGATGGAGACCCCAGGCTGTGGGGGGAATGTGTTGCTTGGAGGATCCCATGCCCCGGATGTATCCTCTCTCCAGCAATAGAAAGCCATTCCTGGGAGTCTGCAGTGTTGAGGATGGAAACACGCAGCTGCAGCTGGGCATGGCACTGGTGCCAGTTGGTTAATGTAGAAAAAGATGGGAAAAAGTCCCGCTGAGCTTGCTGGAGGAGGCTGCACCTCATACTGCTAAATCTGCCCGGGAGACGGGTCTCCCCTGCAGCAGGCCAAGCAGTGGGGGAATGCCTGCCTTTGGCATCCCAGGTTTCACCCAATTGGGTTGAAGTTTCCCATGTCAGGATGTGCCGGAGCTGGAATGGTACTCGGGAATTTTCAGCCCGAGCAATCACACAGTGGTGCAGGAGACCCCCCCATGCCGCCATCCTCCACACCCTGCTGTGGCACCCCTCGTTAGGGTCACCCTCAGCTTGGGTTTGCTGTTCCCATATGTGTGCAGCCCCCGCAGCCGAATTGCACACTGCCGTGAGCCCACAGCACGTCCCTGCTCCGCAGGGGAGAAGCCTGGCACCAAAACCCACAATGGGGGGATGTTGGGGGGCCCAAACTTCAGCAGGGACAGGGGAGGGGCTGGGGGCTGAAGGGTGGAGGAAGGAGGGGGACGTGTTGGTGCTCCCAGACAGGGATGGGGTGGGAGGGAATAGTTTTGGCAGGTGCTTTGCAGAGATGCAGCCCTGTCACGGGCTCATGTGGAGGGGGGGTTCTGCAGGGTTTCAGCCAGGCAGAGGGAATATCACCCCCTGACTCTCCTGTCTCGGCAGACGTGGAGGAGCTTTGGATTGGCCTAAATGACCTTAAGCTGCAGATGAACTTCGAGTGGTCGGATGGGACGCCCGTGAGGTTCACCTACTGGCACCCCTTCGAGCCCAACAACTTCCGCGACAGCCTGGAAGACTGCGTGACCATCTGGGGGCCGGTGAGAGCCCAGGGCCCGGAGGGACTCGTCCTGCACCGCCACGGAAAGCACTGCAGCATCCCCATGGCCGGGGAAGGGATGCCTCGGGGGGCATCTCTGGCTGGGTCTGAACCTGGTTCATCCCAGGTGTTGGGATGGGAGGGATCCAGCACAGTATCCTCAGGGATTTGATGCAGGGAAGGAAAGTGTGGACCCAGGGTAGGGCTGGATAAGCTGGGGAATCCCCCAGGCTGTCAGATAGGCTCAATCCTGCTCTTCTCCCCGCGGTGCAGGAAGGGAGGTGGAATGACAGCCCGTGCAACCAGACCCTGCCATCCATCTGCAAAAAGCCTGGGTGGGTGAGCCAGGAGAAGGAGGAGGATGACCACGGGTGCCGAAAGGTGAGGAGGACCTGGGATGGGAGGTGACTGGCTGCTCCATGGCTCTGCCTGATGCTCGGGGCTGTGGGGTCACGGGGGACCTCTTCCCAAAACCATTTCAGGGAGCTCTGATAGCAGCACCCAGAGGGGTGTGTCTGTGCCAGGGGGCTGTCAGCGTGGCAGAGCATCCTGGGCTGCTGAGCCCCTCGCTTCCCTTGCATGAGGCTGCGGGAAGAAACTGGGGCAAAACGTATGTCTCCATGGTCCAAGATCCTCCCCCTGGGGCTGGCTTGGTTGCCAGCAGGGATATTCATTTTTTTCTCCTTGCCTCTCTCCGTGGCAAAACCTGGCAGCAAAGCTGCTCCATGGAGGAGCCTGGCAGGATGGAGGCAGCTGCCAGGCCCGCGATGGCAGGCTGTGTCCTATGGGCAGGATATGGGCATTTTGGGGACACAGCCACCAAACTGGTGGGTTCTCACCCAGATCATGCTCTGCCTCAGTTTCCCCAGCTGTTGAGCAGGGCTGAGGCTGCCCCATTCCCACGCTTGCGGGCAAGTTGCTTTTGTGCCTCTTTGCAAAGCGTTCGAGAGACAAGCCTGGCATCGCCGCTGCTCTTGAACCTCTCCCAGTGTTTCACCGCGAGCCAGCTCGCGCTTGGACTGGCAAGCAGCCCCTCCGGGCCGGCTCCCAGAGGTGCTGCCGGGCTGCACCAGCGGCTCCTCCAAGGTCTTTACCCAGTCACAGCAGAGCCAAACGCCAGCAGCCGCCTGGCTCCGCGAGAGCCCAGAGGGAGCAGGGCAGCCGGGTGAGCTGGCACACCAGGCCAGAGTCGGGGGGCTGCCAGCCAGAGCCGGGGGAGCCCCAGTGTTGGCGGGTGCTGGGGACAAGGCGCTCCCTGGCAGTGTGCCACCACCACTCATCTGCTTGTCCCTGCAGCAGTCGCTGAGGACTTGTAGGATGTCCCAGTGCAGATTTAACTCCCTCCTGCCTCTTCAGCCAGTTTATCCTTGCCCTGGGTGCCCAGCAGAGAGATGCACCTGCTGGGAAACAGCCTGGGAGTGACAAATGAACTGAGGAAAGGCCTTTTCCCATCCTTCCTTCCCCTTCTCATCCTCAGTGGGACCATTTGCCATCCGGATACAGAGGCTGATGGAGGGGAGGCAGGATCTTGCTCCAAGGATTTACTCCTGTCCTCTTCAGTCACCATGCTGGTTTTTCTTGGTGGCTTGCTGCTCTTCTCCTGTCCAAACCCCCTTTATTTTTGGAACAGCCTTGAAGGAGGCTGTGGGGGATGGAGGTTTGGGTGACAGGGAAGGCAAAGCCGGAGAGAGATGTGGAGGCACACGGGATTGGGAGCTGGAGGCAGCAGTTGGGATTGGCAGTCCTATCCTGGCCCCTTTTTGGAACGTGGGGTTGCTGTGGCGCTCGGTGGGTGCAAGAGCACCTTGGTGGTTCTAGTGATGCTGAGGCCCAGGGCTGGTTGAATACCCCTCTGGGGACATCCAGACCCTTCTGGGGATGTCGGGGACTGGCACTGTCCCATATGGGCCCCTTTCCTTAGGGTTGCTCAGGGGCATCCATGCTGTTCCCAGTGGGACCCAACCGGTGGGTCCATACCTGGGTTTGCTAACTTTGGGGGAAGACTGCAGGAGCAGGAGTTTGAGGAAAAAAATGGTATTTGGGGTCATTTTCCTCTTGGTCTCCCAAAACTGCTCTCCTGCCTCCCTCCCCACCATGTTGATGCTTCTGCAGATGGCACATGTCCCCCACTGTCCTTCCAAAGCCTGGGGGACCTAGGGCTAAAATCCCAGGGAGGCTTCCTGCTGTGCCAGGAGGGTCCCTGAGCCTGGGGCCACGTGTCTCCCTGGCTGAACACCTTCACCCTTCCCATCCCAACTTGCTCTTCAATCATGCACATGTCCCCTCTCGCGGATGAGCCCCCACCTCCCTCCCTGTGCTGCTGCCAGCCCCGGGGCCACCCCGCTCCCTGCTCTGGCAGCAAACAGGCACTATTGTGTCTCCAGCCCCGGAGAGGCTCCAACGTCAACAAGGCAGGGGATTAAAGCAGGCTGCGGTGGGACTCACGCTGCATTTGGCCCTGCGGCTTATAGAGGAGGATTGTGTTCCCCTCCCCGCGCCCCGGCTGGGGCTGGACGTTGGCAGGGAGAGCCACTTCCACGTCTTTGAAGCTGCCTGGGTGTTTTGTTTTCCTTGCAGCCATGTCCTCTGGGGCCGGGGGCTTGTTAGAGCTCAAAGCTGAGCGGGGTCAAGCCGGGGCGTCCGGGGCAGGAGACCTCCCAGGAGAAGGTGGAGGCGGTGGCAGGGGATGGGGGATGTTGCACTGGCCCCATCCTGGGGAGGGCTGGGGTGAGCCATGGCAGACGTCCCCTGTCACCCATCCCCAGGGCTGGAAGTGGCACAGCCCCTCCTGCTTCTGGCTGGGTGAGGACCGTGTCCCCTACAGTGACGCCCGCAAGCTGTGCTCCGACTACGGCTCCACGCTGGTCACCATCACCAACAGGTCAGTGCCACGCCAGCGGAGGTGGGTTTGTCCCAGAACGAGCCCCCACAAGAGCGGTGTGACCCAGCTTTGCACGCGAGGGTTGGGGCATCACTGGCATCCTGGCTCGCAGCATCGCCCGCTCTCGCCACCCTTCCAGGTTTGAGCAGGCCTACGTCAGCAGCCTCATCTTCGGCTGGGACGGGGAGTATTTTTGGACAGCGCTGCAGGACATCAACGAGACGGGCGCTTTCCGCTGGCTGAGCGGCGACGAGGTCATGTACACCCACTGGAACCGCAACCAGCCCGGTAAGGGGGTGGCCCTGGGTGGGGTGGGGATGTCCCCTCCCTGTGGGGCAGGTGCTGTGCCCGGCACGGTCCGACCCTAAGGCTGGCATCCTCCCCGCTCCCGTGAGCGCTCCAGGTTACAACAAGGGTGGCTGCGTGGCCCTGGCCACCGGCAGCTCCACGGGGCTGTGGGAGGTGAAGAACTGCAGCACCTTCAAGGCCAAGTACATCTGCCGTCAGAACCTGGGCACCCCGGTGAACCCCGAGCTGCCCGGTCCCTACCCCACACCCAGCCTCACTGCCACCTGCCCCCTGGGATGGAGCTCCGACTCCAAGCTCCGCCACTGCTACAAGGTAATGGGGGCCGGGGGGCTTTCCCTGGCCATTGTGGGGGTGCATGTGCCTCCCCACTGGTGTGGGGGGTGTGTGTGAAGGAGCATGTTTTTGGTGCTTGTGAAGGGCAGCCTGGCCCCCACGAGCCTGGTCCAGGCTGCGTGTTGGCAGCACGCCCCGGGATGCTGCTGCGTGTAGCATGGGGATGATGCTCTGCTCCTCTCTGGTGCTGAGCCCCCTCCACCGCCGGTTTCTCCCTCCCCAGGTGTTCAACTTCGAAAAGCTGC